TGCCACCCTCCTCAGCGGGTGGCGCCGGCACGGCACAGGCAGCCGCCTGGCCAGGCACCAGGGAGTGGGGGCAGCGCCTCCCTCCCTTCTCTCCTCGCTCGTGGGCAAGGCACCTTTTCTGGTTCCTTTGTCCCGACTTAAATAGGGCAATTCGCAGAGGCGCCGATTGGCTCAAACCCCGAGGGGAATGGGAGTCCGATCTGGTGGCCAGCCCCTGCCACCAGATTCGCCTCCCCCCATCAAACCCATCACAGATGCCACAGAAGGACCTGCAAACTTGGCTGGCTGGCTTCGGAATGATGCAATTCAGACCAGGTCACAGGATGGGCTAATGCCTCTGTAGTGCGAGTGAACTCAATTATGATGACGTCCCAAGTCAGATCATAGCCAACAGCCTGTGTCCTGAAGTTACCCCTTGATAGTAAAGGTTTCAAGGTAGTGCAGATCTGGCCCTGTTCATATGGAACAGGGTGTAGCTACATGCACATCTTCTCTCCTCTGTGAAAGCAGCACCTCGCCCTCCTGCCTGATCATTTTTGTTCGCAGATTGTCCAACAGCATCTGCCAAAAGCACAGTGACTGAGTGAAAAGGTACCAACAGGCAGGAGTCAATGCCTGAGGTATAAATGATGAAAAGCATCTTGTTTTGAGTGTCACTGTGGTCAGTGAGGCTATACCAGCATTGTGTCAGTAACCCCAGGTGCTGACACACACAGCTCTTTGCTCCAGAGCTCTGCTGGTAGCTGGGTTTTGCCACACCACTCTGATGATCCAGGTAGAGCCTTGACATATGCTCGCTGAAGGGCAAAGCCCTCTCTGCTGGGACAGTGTGAAAGGATGTTTACCACTGGAGCCCTTGAAATTCTGACCTTGAACCAGATTCTGTAGGAGAAAGACCTTTTCTTATTTCATTTGGTTTTATCTTCTCCCTGTCATTTTAATTCAACTTTTGGCATGTATTTCATATAAGAAACTAGAATGATTAGTTGCTTTGGATAACTAATAAAAAAGATCTTGTGATGAAACAGCAAAAGTATGCAAGCCTTAGAAACACAAAATGTTTAGAGCTGCATACCTCATGTGCAATAAGCATCGGGCTGGAGTGACTCTGGGTGGTAAAATAAGACTGCTGAAAAAAGAAGATTAAATATTTTTTAAATTTGGATTGTTCAGTAAGGAACTCAGCATGCTTGTAATGATGGGCTCATGGCTTTGCAGGCCTCGGTGGGGACAGAGCGTATGGCATGAGCTTCCCAGGCATGGCTGGGCAAACCTACCCAGCTTAGAACTTGTGTTACGGTACAATTCATAGCCATGCTCTGATTGACTGATGCTGGCTTTGTATTTATTTCAGGAAGACCGTGTTAGAAGA